TATTGATAGTATCGGTATGTGCTAAGTCCATTAGTATCTGATACAAACTACCATACCACTCCATCCTCAACTTCTATCTACAGCTTCCGCAGAGGTATCAGCCGCTCTAATATTATCATAATCCTCTACACCAGCATTGTCCTCCTCCTCCTTATCGTCGTCGTCCCCAGTATCCACCTCACTATCCGATACCCGTCCTACACAAAGGTAATGCCTTACAACATAACCTATACCTTACCTTCCCCTTCCATATGCTGCTGCTCCTCCTCCTCCTCAACAGCAGCAACCCCAGCAGACTTCTTGGACTTGCCGCGTTTCCCTTTCTTACCCCCTTTACGTCGACGTCTACGCTTACCCGCAGCGAACTTATACTTGTTACCCGTTCGCTGTACCACCTTCTCCATAGCTTTCAAGAGCTCAGATAAACACTGGACACCTACAGAGAGAGATAACAAAATGTTCACTCCGTTACGGTATTACTAAGAGTAAGGACTCTTGGATCAGCTACCGTACTCTTGAATCCAGTCTTGCATAGCCATACTAACTGTGTTTGGACATCCTCATATAATACATTACTCAATAACATCTCAGCCACATGTGCAGTCTCCTTATCAGGGGAGCGTAGACATGTACGTATCTACACAGCATACTACTATCCTAAGACCGATCACAGAACCCACCATTCGTATCTGTTCCAACAGTGCTCTTAATACCACAACATTCCTAGCACCACCCTTCTTGAGACTCTTAGCCTCCTTAGAGTGTACCCTCAGTTGCCTAGCCACTAACTCAGTGGCTTCGACATTCAAAGCAGGCTCCACAGATGTGATATCAATCACCATCTATCGTCACATATCATCTCAACACACTAGGAACTGAGGTTACCTCGGTGAGCTCAACAGGAGGTGGTAATGGCGTTCCTGCTTGAGTAGCTTCAGCCACAGCAACTGCTCTATCATGCTTCATTGCTGCTACATGATACTCATGACTCTGTCTTTGAAAATCAAGGGACCATGCTATGAAGTTGAGAGCTCTCACCTACCAGCAACATACTACACATTAATAATAAGTGTTACTATACCTTACCACATCATACTCCTGCTCCACTTCACTATCAGTGATCGCTTTGATAACCGCTGCCATAATGCCAGCAAACACCTAACACATTAGTAGACACATGTAGAGGGATAGTGATGCCTTACTCGGTCTATCATGTCCACTATGAAGGAGGCGAAGCTCTTGAGGAACTTCTCCCATACTGCTAGATTTATCATAGACACACCTACAAAGCATATACACTCGTCATGACTAGAGATACTCATACCGCCATCTGCTGAGATAACCTCTTGTAGCAGACCAGCAGGAGCATCTCCAACAACTACTGGTACCTTCGATCCGACATCAACATCGGTGAAGGTTCGATCCTAAGGGTGGGACAACATGGGTACCTTTGAGTACTATAGCTATTACCTGGAACACGTTAGGAGCTTCATCTACCAGCTTATTACGGTAGTGTCGTTGTCTACCAGCTCTGAGAGGGGCACACTAGCATACATAGACAACACGT